TTCCATTAAAAACATCACCGAAAAATTACAGCTGCTTTCATGAAACAAAATGATCCGCAAACACTGACTAGAAATCATTTTGAAAGCTTTTGTGTTAGCAGGTTCTTAAAGCGATCAATCTGTTTAGTGTTTGTCTTTCTTATTTACCCTATTGGCCTAATTTTTTTCCATGGAAAAGAGCCGAAAGTCGATAATTACACCAAAGTAAACAGTCCTGTAATGAGGTTGACAAAGTTCTTCCTTTTGTGTACTCGAGGAAAAGAATCAAAAGACAGTTTCCATGTGATCTCGTCCAGAAACCGAGAGAAGGCCGGATGTAATTTGAACTTTTCATCAAAAATTGTAATGAAGTACGTTTTTTTGACGAGTGCACGAAAGGAAATTCGTATATCTACCACTAAAGTATTTAAAGTTAAATTGATTAGAGTGGTTAGATCGGATTACTTTTGAGGGAAGAGGTTTACGTTGAAAATAGATCAAAATAAATGTCAACACTTCATTTAAGCTTGTCGCGACAATATTCTGCGGGCTGCACTCCGCGTGCGAGATCAAGAATTACTTTCATTTGTGGCGTTAACAAGCATTAAAGAGTAAATCCTAGTCAATATTAACACGGTCAATCAACATGAATATCAACGACGCAGGATACTTCGAAGCACGTTTTTGCCTCGGATAGAGGTTTGTAGGACACTTGCGAATACTTCATTGCACGTTGTACCACCACTTTTCGACATCACTTTAAAACTACGAGGCAACCCAGGGTGGTATTGCAAAGAAATGTGCGAGACTCTAAACAGCATCATATGAGCCGTTATTTGTTTGCGGTAGCTAAATTCAATCCCAGATTTCCATATTGACAAAATTCAATTGAAAATTGAGTAACTTATGTCAAGAAGATCGAGACAACGAGGGCAATGTTGAACTTGGGAAAGCCGAGTTTTATCATTTGTTTCATTCAGATCATAAATCAAAGAGCAGAAAGGAACAAAGAAAGAAAGATATTTGGGGATAATCTTGAACCTTGAATTTGTAACTATGAAAAACCCACATAATTTGTGTTTGGCGCCGGTGCGATCTATTGATTTAAGCTTCAATTTGAGGCGTACCTTCATTTTGATTGCGCATGCGTGCTAGCAAGAGAAACTAGTTTTACAAATGAGTAGTCTTCCGACTGCCTGAACGTATACACAAGTACGCTTTAATAACTGCTGAGTAAACACACACGTATTAAAAGGAAATAATATTTACCTTACCTTGCGCTTTATTCATGTTGGTTCAGAACCCGTTCAAACACTGCTAATGCAAGACCAAACATGATTTAAAAGAGTCTGCACTTAAATTCGTCTCCGCCATGTTTTAAATTTATTTCAGTTGGAAAGTGATCAGATAATGCGTTCTCGTTTTTCTTCTGTGTCATTCACGTTAACATTGCTAATTTTTATTTGCATCAGAAAACTATTGGCTGTATTGGCATCAGCACTTATCGAATGAATCAAATTTCTTTCAGAGTTAAAAGCTTTTTGATTGATTTTCACTTGGAGATGATAATCTTACCGTGGATCTAATACTGCATCTCCTTCAAACCTTAAAATCATTGCTCAACGGGAAGAGGCAAAGCTACAAGTTCTTCAAATAGATAAAAACAAATGACCCTCTTCACAAAAACAATACTGAAGTATATTCACTGACTAGACAAAGCAACAGTAATATTTTTATATAAAGATTCACTGAAATAAATGTATCCATTGGTTGATCATTGAAAATAACAATGGTTGAACTGGAGTGCCCTGCAGCCAGAGGGCCGTCGAATAGATCGTTATTTTCTCGATCGTTCTTTTTTCAATGTTTTTGGATCAGGTAATTGTTAAATCTACCTAGCCTGTATCTTGATGGCGAAGCTCAAATGCATGTATGCTGTAAATGTTTACGTGCGATTTAAAAACATTCCGTGTCATTCATAGAAATAAGCTTACTAGCTTGCAAAAGCACCGTTGACAATCTATATACAGAAATACATTAACTATTTGTCACCAGATCGGGAAAAGAAACAATCCTCGTAAGGATTCGACCCTCAGTCAGTATCAATCATAGTCCTATGTTACGACAGAACTCGTCGGCAAGTTTGACTCATCAGAGGTTCATTATGTGACAAGCTTCCTACATACTCAGGATTAATAATGTCGAAAAGCACTTGTACGAAAGAAGCTGATACGAAAGCTGGTGAACATTTTAAGTTCGGTTATCAAAGACAAAGATATGTTTTAAAAGTAACTGTCACGGGCGTGGTTAAAGAAGTCACAAAATATAAAGAAAACCAACCCTTTTGTCTTGGTGTGGAACTCAGAAGCCCCCCCAAAAGATTCCTATATCCAGCTTTTGAGCTACTTGGACATCATTTACCTGCCAAACTTTGCGATAGTCCTGCATCTGTATGTGGAACACCCGAATGATATAAGATAGATCGACGACGATAGAATTCATTGTGTGACTAATATTAGTTTTCAGGATAAACAAACAACCTTGAATTTGTGAATAATGTAGCTACTAATTTCTGCACGTAAGGCTTAAAGATGGGACTCAATTGAATACCAGACTTTCATAGATGCAAATGTAATATTTACCAACTCGTCAGCCTAAACCTTTGGTCAACTCGACAAAACCTCGTAGAAAAGTATGCATTTGAACGTTTATCTGCAAGGCTAAAGGACCAAAATCACATCAAGTTCCTAAGAGTATTTTTAAACTCATATGGGGTCCCATCGATACAAATGAACGACGCTTACCGCCTTCTTTCAGCCATTTTTTGTCTAAGAGGCTAGGTGAACAGTTTCCCCAGTTATGCCACGTTAGATTAAACTTCGGAAAGGATGATATGCACATCTCGATGACATGCTGTGAAAAACAACACGTTGAATTTCCCAAATTATGATTACGTTTTACTTGAGATTTTAGGGGCTGCCGAATATAACTTGAAGACCTCGAAATAATAAAAAAATCAAATTATTACTAAGGCACGTCGTATATTTTTGTTCAAGTTCCTGAAGTAATAGACAAATATTAAAAAACACTCGCCAAAACATGGTTCTCTTGGACAATGGTAGACAAGCAATAGACTGGCACAAATTACAAAACTCAGAGGTTACATGCTTCTGTTTCTATGCATCGAAGAATTCTCTCATTAAAATTTGCGTAACAGTCATAGTCACCACAAATGTATCGGTGATTACAGATAAAAGGTGACGTTTAGAACTTGAAATTTAATTTTCTTTCCAAAACGGTGACGATATATTTTTTCATTCTTTATTTTTATGATTATTATCCTCTTTTGCTCCAAAGGCACATCCAGAGTTCAAAAGAACTTTCAGTATGAAACGTGGCAAAGAGGACCAATTACCATGAACACAAAAGGGAAACGTTTGGCTCCATTTCCCAAAATTTATGCAAACCCTGGAGTTTTATGGCTTTGAGCCACCTTTGACCAGACTCCCTTTTTATTCTGAGTGCTCAAGAATGCTCTCCCAATTGCTGATTTTTTTAGCGCCATTCACTTAAAAACTTGACCACTGAGAAAAAAAACTTACGCTTACTTTTGCATGAATTCAATGCAGATATGCAAACCGAGCTCTCGGGGCAATCTGATCAAGCACCTTAAGGCAATTTCCTATGGAGTGCAATGTATAAGCCTGGATTCCATTTGTGTTCTCTTATTTCGATTTATGATTGATCTAAAAAACTTTGGCTGTTTCAACCAATCAGACCCACGACACAATCTTGGCCAATTACAATTTAATCACCTCCCTTTACCTGTGCTTGAGGACTTTAGCTCTCGTCGGTTCCTCTTAATAGCTACTTATGTTCTGATTGGACGCTGTGGTTACTTCGACTTTGATTTGACTTCGTCGCTCGAAAAGTGCAGTACTTCAATTCCCCAAAACGCTGCTTCCTTAGGTGCAAAGTTTCATGTTGTCAGTAAACTGCTTTTAAATTCCTCACAAAACTGCCTCTATCTCGTTATCATCCTATTTTAAAAGGATTTCTGTAAAGTTCCATGAGACCAAGATGTCCTTATAATTTGTTATCAAGGTTGACCTCACATAACATGAAGCAAACACTATCAATAAACAATAAGAGCACGAAAAGCAGAGAGACAGCTTAAAATCCATTATCCTGTGGCGATTTTTAACTGAACAGGAAATGTCACCTGAAGCTTGAGGCGCGCTCTAAACATCAAAGTCGCTATCATAAGTGGCGGCATCTTTGACAGCAGCTCGTCTACTTTTGTTGAAAGGAAATCGAGAGCGGAAATTTTGTTGGAGTAAAACATGATATTCGTAGATATGGTATATTGGAGTTGAGCCATATGTTACCAACCCATTATTTTTATAGAATCTACCGATGATAGTCTAGGTTAGGCCGGTGACCTGCTTTCATCGATTTTTCATTTGAATTAGTCTTCCCGAAGGAGACGAAAGAAAATACGTTTTTTTTTTGTTGCTATGAGAAGCAACGACTCTCGAAGAAGATCTGTAGCAGATAGCTTGATCAAGCATTATATTTCTGACTTAAAAACTCTCCTCAGCTCCAATATCCTTGATATATTTCTTTGCAAGAGGTCGATATCAACGGATGACTTAGATATATTTCTAAATCTAAACTTTCAACGATAACCGGTTGTTATCAGTTGTTGGAGAAAGTGGCGATGTCTTCAAAACTTCGGTAAAACCTTTTACTTCTCTTAATTCTCCCAATCGGCAATTACACCTGCTTGAATGCTAAGGATGGAGGGGTTCCAGATGCTCAGTGAAGTACTTACTCAAAATCTGAACTAAAACAGCCTAAAGCGACTAATTGACAGCTTCACTCTTCAGTCATTACTTACAACAAGCATTTCATTTACGGAAAAAAAAATTAAATGCTAGCTAAATTCCCGTCTTATGCTCAAACGAGAGCACTTTGAGGGAGAAGTTATTTTACAAAACGAAAAAAAGAAAATTCCTCACCTGTATTGTTCAACAGTTGTATCACGTTCAATTTCACCAAAAGTACTGAGTTGTTGAGCTCCTCTCCAAGAGTAATTCACATTTCCATGACACCAAATCTTTAAAATACTCTGACTCCTTCCTGATAAAGAAAACATTAATCCATTGTCCATTTAGAATGTAGGATCGGTGTAAACCAAGATTAATTTGAAGGCTACCGATCATATCTGCCTTGGGCGATATTGGCGGAAAAACGGCCACTCTTAGAGAACAACCTCGTGATTTAGCAGCAGATGATTTTCCTCTGGTGAGGAACTCCCTTGATATCAATGATCTTATCTGGCAGCCCCGAGTGACTTATTTTATCACGAAATAAATAGCGTAAAATCGCCAAGAGTCAGATCCATATTCATTTGTTCATCGATCGATTCATGACTGTATGACTGATGATAACGATCAGAATGTTGAGCCTAAAGTCTGCTGCGGCAAAGTCACCTCAAGACAATCGTTTAAGGCATCGAGGCGAGCTTCCTTCATCTGAATCTCAGCGATTTCGTGACCAGATTTTGAATTCATAATGTGTCTAAAGACTTGATTTTACTGCCTCTCCCGACCTCGCTGGTAATATTTTGACGGCCATCTATGACCGTCTCTCTCTCTCTACAGGCAGTGGATTGAGACCAACTAGTTTTTATTCATTTTTTAGTCAAATAAATCACAGTTTTAAGGTATCATCGAGACATGTCCGTGTTGGAATTAAACCTTTACAAGAAATTAATCAAAGAACGAGGGCCTTAGGGGTTTTATAGTATACTAATTGAACTGGCTGACGGCAAACTTGTCTGATTCATCGGCCATATTTGCATCTGTTCAGTAATCAGCGTAAATTAAAATCGGTTGCCGAAATGAAATCAGTGAAATCAAGTCAGGTCTGAGTACTCGATTCCACCACTTTCTAGATTCTGTGGCTGTCTAAGAGCAACTTCAAGTTATTACATTGTTTATTGACCTTGAAGAGGTCAAACTTCCTAAATCCATAAAATATCCTAACCCTAGTGCTCTACATATTTGATTCCGAACATGATTTTCCTTAGAGATGAGAGGCCAAGTCCGGCCAATTAAGAACGCACAGAGGTAGTAAATTTGATAAAGTGAAACAGCTCTAGCAGGCGACGATTATTATAGTTGCTATGCAAAATACAACAAGACTCCACTATTTGAACCTAGCACTTCTCGCCTTTGACTTGGAAAATTTTCGTACTTGCCTGTCGAGCAATAACAATAGAAGGAGAAATAAAACTGATGGTTTGTAGTGATACAGTTTGTAGTGATGCAGTTCCAAACAAATGTGTTTAGTGTCCAAAAACACTCTAATTGCAAAATTTACTCTCGTGTAACTGTTCAAGATATAAGACTTATTCTTTGAAACTTTACCAGTATAAGCATGCTGTTTTATTGCTTAAATCTGCTCTTCATTCAGAATCATTTCATGGACCTTTTGTCTAAAATCTGGTAACTTTCACTTTCAGCTCGCTTACTTTGTATACATCTGTCGTGAAGATTTCCGGTATTGCTTTCACTGTTCCTCGAAAACTCGATATTGCGGAAGTAAATCTAAAGACGTTTTTAACGAGAAACTAAAGATTGTTGCATCCACTCAAGTCCACGATGTCGCATGGATGAAGCTGATTTTTCGTTTTCAACGTTGACGGATAATAGTTAAAGGACAAAAATTGGTGTTATCGGTTCTCAGGATCTTAAGAGAACGAAAACAAAAGAAATTAAAAATTTTAAGAAGCAATTTTTAACCGGGGGTTTAAGAAAATTTTCCTCTTTTAGCAACCGAATTGCATCATGTGAAATGAAAGATGTGTTTGTGAAAAAATATGAAAGAAAAAGGCTTTAGGATTTAGGATAAAGGATTTAGTTGTAATATGTACTCAAGTCTATGTTTGATTGGATAATAAAATCAATGAATCGATGGAGAAAGCAATATTCTGATGCGATACTACAACTGAGAAGATGTTATCTAGGCGCATAAATTTTATATTTACTGTTTTCGTTATTTAACCCAATGATCTGTGCCTACTTCGGAGTTCGACCCGATTGCATATTCAAAATGAAGTGTTTTTAAAGGAGACTTGTTTTGTTTTAGTTTTTGGCATTATCGAAATAACAAAGATATCTATAGATTATGGACCTCGGATTCTATTTCATCAACAAGTCCTCTGCTTTAAATCAAAATCGCAACTTTAGCATCTATGCTTTCAGTTGAACAAAGTAACCGAAAGTATTAAAGATCATTTTAGTTAACTTAAAAATCATCATAAAAAGGCCTTTGTCGGATTTGTCGATCAAAATTTTCTCAGCAGTCTGTTACTCACTTTCTTAGCGATGTTTTCCCCGACGGCTAATGTCGAAACCTCCAAGGTATGACGAAAGGGGGCACGTTTAACAAAAACTGTAGCATGCGCCTGTGTTATGCTCCAGCTAGATCTCTCTCTAGTAAATAGGTTACATATAGCAAGTAATTTATTGGTAAATTTCCTCCAATTAAATTACTTGTATCTCAATTGAAAACCTTAAACCCAAACAATGGTTGGTAAAAAACATGAATATGCTAAGTACTATTTCGAATTATTCATTAGTGACCAAGGAAAACAAGGATTAATTGAAATATTAGAGGAAGGAACTTTGTTCCCCTTTAACACTGATCAGTCACTTTTTATTACACTGAATTCAACAAAGCGAGAGAGAAGAATAGAATTCTTAGATTCGTTTTCAGTAAACCGAGGAAAAACGTGAGGTCTATGGCTCAGACAGAGATTATTACTTTGAAGAAAAAAATCTTATCTACTTGAAGAAATCTTGTAATGAGTGTAAAGAAATTAAAGGTAGGCATTCAAATTTGATAAGGAGTGGGAAGTTACCATGATGTAAAACTATGTTTTTCAATTCATGGGATAATTTTCTTCCATCCTGCCTTTCTTTAGGAAAGCTTATACTTGGTGAAGGGAATATAAACTGCTATATTCTCTTGACTCGGCTTTATTACTCGGATTTTAGCAGTGGGGACAATGCTAAAACTTAAATATTTGGACTCAGATGGTATCATTGCAAGGCTCAACTATGCGAGTAACATTTTTTACTCAGTCTGTAAGGTAGTTTTAAAACTTACCTCGATGTTTTGACACGTGATCTCATTCGGCGGCATTTTTTGGTATACAAAATTTCGTGAATATTATGGGAAAACGGCAGTGAAAGTAGAGTAAGTGAATTAAGGAGAATAATGTAAAAAAAATTCATGATAATAATGAAATGTGAGAGTGACGGCATCCAGCTGAGTTTGCAACAGACGACAAATGAAATTTTTTCCTTTCAAACACCACAATCTACCAGGCCATTAATAAATAATACCCTACGTTAAAATAAAATACACAATAACATAAGCAGCGGTTAGGACACCTGCTCTTTAATTAACTTTTACTGTCAATCGAATGGTGCTGTAGTTAGAGATAAGAAGCTGCAAATAGGAGATAGATCTCTTTGACAAGCTAAAATAAGTTGCGGGCTACAGAAAATCCCCACCGCATGTCTTAGAGTCGGATTTTAACCACAACAGCCTTACACATTCACGACATTCGACTCATTTCATTAACTTTTGGTCTGATTCATATGAGCCGTGGGCGCTGCACTTTTCGCTGCAGCGATGCCTTTTCTCTCTCTATTTTATCCTAGGAAACAAAAGAATATGGCCTTAGCGGTGACCTTAACGCTGCTAAAGTACTGATAACTAGAAACAGACTTCTTTCGGACAATCGAAGAATCGTTCAATCAGTCCCAACTCTATTGAGAGGTGTAGGATTTGTTTTGAGCCAGACGGAAAGATTTCTCTGAGATAGAGCATTATCTGAATTGTGGACTGTGAACGTTAAAGAAATGAAAAATGAAAGATAGAGAAGCCATGGCAAATTTGTAGCTTTTACCTTGAAAATGTTGTATCTTTTTTCCTAAAAAATAGATGAATTAAATCCGACATATAATTTTAATAAAGAAAACAAAATATTTGTACGGACTAAAATTCTGTATTTTAGCAAAAAATTTAGCGATTTCAAAATGGATGCGATAAAGTGGTAATTGAATTTCGCGTCGTGCAATTTTGATCTGAATCATGAAAATAAAAAAATATAGACATATATATATATTTATTTTGTATGTTGTATGTCCTTCCTTCATCCATAACAGGTGCTATCAACAAACACTCTTTGGGCTGATCTTAGTTGTATATGTGATGCATACATCAATGCGCCGCCTTTTACTTTACCTAACAAGACTTTTTCGAAACAGTTGATGGAGAGAAACAGAATCATTATTTATTTTTGGGAAACCGAGCTCGACATGAAAAAAATCAAATTAGGGTCAAACGGTTCTTAAGTTTGAAACTGAATCGCGCAATAAAAAAACATGTTTTTGACAAGTTGTGCTCCATGCTTATCAGACTTGAGTAAGGTTCTCTTTTAGTTCTATTAGTTTGATACTTGTTTCTCGATACATGAATGGGAAGAGTATTTTGACAGCTTAAAAACCGACACCGAGAGGTAAAAAATTTGTAAAAGCTTAAGCATAACACCGTATAGGCAAGGGTTCGTCTTAAAAATATTAAAATGTATCTGACCTTTAAAGTCGAACATGAAGAAAGTAAACACTTTTATGCTAAGAGTCATTTGGATAACTGGTTATGGATTTTTGCCCAATGCTCTCTTTGAAAAAAAAAAGACTGAAATGTCTGAGGTGTACATGACTTAACAAAGTGTCGACATTGACGAAGGATATTCTTATATCAAGGGGCAAAAGCGCTGACGAAGTGCTCCAGCAGTGAACGAACAGCGCAGTTATACTAATATATCTTTTTTTTCAATATGTATAAACATCTCCTTTTCTTGAATTTGAACACATTTAGTTCTGTACCTAGGAACCGGGATTCATTTGTTGCCTTGTTATTCCTGAATTCGTACCCACCTTAGAGTAAGATCGACATATTGTAATTATTTTCTCAAACTCTTTCCTTATCAAATGAGTCAACCCTTGCAGACATGAAAACACGTCCCTCCACAAATTTAACCCATTCACCTCGCCGAGAGGAAAGAAAACGGTTCAGAAAGTTTCCTGTCACTCCCTTTTTGCTCCGCCTTTCTCTAGGATCAAAGGTGGTGACGTCCACTTAAGTTAACTAACCGAGGTCGAGATACCTGTGCATTTTCCAGATTGATTTAACTATTTACGTCCATGAAAAACGATTCTAGAAACTTTGGTAGTCAACTAAAGCACTAATTTCAATTTACACTTGGATTTTATCAAACAGCTAGTTGTCTGTAATAAATAATGAAGCGCTAATTACACTGCAACGGAGATCGCATACACAACTACCAGAACCGACGGCTTTCGTGGCGCTTCCGCAATTAGATTTGTATCAAATCAATGAGCCCACCTAAGTCACTAAAAACTGAAAGTACAAGATCATAATATGTATATATTCTGAGAAATTGAAGAAAGCTGACTGATCATTCTTCAAAGTTTAAGTTTAGTTGGCACCATTACAGGCTTTATTCAACTTTCCCTTTTCAATGTTTTTTTTCATTCGTTCTCTTCTTTCCTCATTAGCTTTGTGTGAAAAGTACAGATGACATAAGGAGACATTTTAATAACCATTTTTCTGTTGGACGGTCTATGATTTTTCAACCAGAACTCGGATTAATAGACAACTTTACCGGAAAACGATAAACCAAGAATGTTATTTAAAATGAGCTGATGAATTTTATATTGCTTTTCGATTTCTCACTTTTATACAAGAAATTAAGTGAGCAAAAACTATTCCAGGAGAAAGAGAATTAAGGCTTGGTTCGCGGCTTTTGTCCGCCATGATGTTTTGATCAACGCGGTAAATGTTCTTTAAAGTTCGTTGAATCGGGAATAAAAATTCATCTCCATGTCCTCGCTAGATTTCTTGTAGCGTGAATAAAAGTTATTTCATAGCACATAACAGCTGAGGAATTAGCGAAATCCTAATAAAGTAAATAAAAGAATTAGAGCTAAAAAACCTTACTCAGTTTCTGCTCTGGTTCAAAATTCTCCCGCAACATTCCAAATCCAAGTCGGTTTTTGGCATTGTCCCTTTGATGTTCAGCATTGTGTATTGAAGAGACTCTACCGGTAATGAGTGGGCAGATCTATGCGGAGGATATAGTTTGTGCGACAGGTGGAGGAGATTATTTACGAAAACAAATCATTAATTTTACTTCCTCTTTTCCTCGAAGCTATGACAACTGGTAATAAGCCCAGAGCAAGTATTTTTTTAAAGCCTTCAAAAAAAGGCCTAAATGAGCGGCATAGCCGAAGCAAAGGATTTTAAAAACTATTCACTATGCAGGGAACTTCATTAACTTAGCAATTCTTATATTTTTCCTTCATCTGTTTGGCAGATGTTTTTTTTTTTCCCGAGGAGTGCTATTAAATGAGCTAAAACCTGAAACGAGCATCGCTGAATTTGCCGCGGGAGACTCTGAAACCTTATCGACTTGAAACATGACCATACTTGTTACAGAAATACTCTAATTTCGTATTTTTGTCCTATTTATTTAAAGATATGTCCACTTATGGTTTGCCACTAAATTGTTTAATTCTTGTCCCTATGAGTTTTTATCGTTTATTTATTTTTTTTTTGGAATCGGTACCTCGTATGTTCGAAAATAGATTTTAGTTGGTATCCTTTCGGGCTGTTTCAGAATTCGCAACTAGCCACGCCGTCATTTTGTAAGCGCGTGCAGCGTGCAGCGTGCCAGTACCAACATGTGCATGAACCTCTTTATAATTAACTCAATATAGCTGTAGTGAAGCGCCTTGTGAGAAAATTTGTCAACCATTTTCTTTATATGTTGATGAGTTATTAGCTTATGTCTTTTCTTATTTTTTCAGTAATTGTTAACATTTATGCTAAGGTTTAGTCTAGTCACCGTCTTTTAGAGTAACGGTAGCGGTTAGCGGTTAGCGGTTAGTGGTTAGCGACATTTATTTGGTGGGCGCAATCACACAGGCAAGTTATTCCGACGGGTTGACGGTAAAATAGGAGTATGCTCCAAATAGTATGTAATTTTTATATATCCACCATTAAAATGTATAGCAATTTACTTCTTACCACGTTTCGAGGATCCGAATAGCCTTTCGACATATTGTCGTCAAATTTGCTCAAATTAACATATGAACGTCTCAATTTTAAAAACAACTTGACAAGCCGCACAAACAAAATGAAAACGAACCGTTCACAAAGAAAATCCGCTGTAAGATGGAAATGATAGCGGGCCTCGTTACGTCACAAGTCAAGCGAGTAAGCAAACAAATAAAGCAACAAAGCAATGGACGGGCAAAAAATTAGCCTTGTCAGAGAGAAAGATGGATCTTTTTTATTTCTTTAATATATAAGTTATTAAATATTAGTATGTCTACGTTACTGGCTGTTTTCTTAGTATTTACTCGTAACACCATAAGAGTCATAGCATGCTGTGTTGCTCTCACTCAGCTTTGCGTAATAATGGTTTCTTTTACTTCTTGTACTTTTAACATAAAGCTATCGGCGTTCTATCACAAATACTGAAATCTTATTGATTACGCTACTCGCTATCTATTCCGTGATAGACAGTGAAAAGGGGGGAGTAACCCAACAGTGCGCGCGGGTAGAAAACTAAATGAAAGAAAAACACCAGTCTGTCCCGCTTTTAAGTTTTGAACGACCAGTACATAAGTGCTAGTAGAAAAGGATTATGTGCTCTCGCCGCTATGCGTAATGGCTGATTCAGGCTCCGCACTCCTCTACTGCCACGCGATGGAAATCTCACATCATAATGTAATAGGGTCTACTTCTAGTGAGGAACTGCATGGTAGTTGAACATCATCGCTCGTGAACCTTTATGGGCATCTCACAAAAATTTGGCACGCTCCTTAGCAGGAACGTCAAATAATGTCACGGTCATTGGATAAACTTGATATCACAGATAGATAAATCAGTTACCTGTGTCAGAGGATTAGTTAATATGCAAGAGAGGATATATTTTTCCGTTCTTCTACATATCATGTAATACTACTGTCATAAATATGATTGCACTCAAAGCCTTGACTCCACTCTATCGTATTTTTACGAGCCAATCAGTTTCATTTTCTATTGTTATCGTCCATACTTGTCCAATCGAACCAGGCTCTGCTCTCGAAGGTTTGTTGTCAAACTTCAGACTATTTCAGTCGTTTCCATGTTATAACGAGGAGATACGAAGATTGCTCCACCCTTTATACTTTTGAAAGTTTCATTTAGATCCTCAATCTTCCTCTCAAGATCGTTCATCTTGTCTTGGTTTATGCAGTCCGTGATCAGACTAGCTCTAGCCAACGTAATAGAAAAATCACCTTTTCTCTCTATGGGAGGTAATAATTATTGTTAGCTCAGATCGGCAAACAACAACTGCTTCAATAACTTGAAGACTTAAGAGAAGTTTAAAAATCCTTAAAAAAAAAAAAAAGAGAAATACAAAAATGTTAGATTTAGCCAAGCCTAAAATAGAGCACAGACGATCAATAGGGTTAAGCCTTACAGTGACATACTTGAATATATGTACAGGTTAAAGAAATACCTTATTATGTGAAATTTCCTATCCGCGTTTTTCGGCAGGTTACATCTAGGAAGCTCTAAGGCATTTATTTGGATCCTAAGTCTCAGAGACACAAGGAGATTGCGATAGGGAAGGTACGGGATGGTTTAAAAAAATTGAAATTCATATTGTATGAAGAAGGTCCGAAAATTCTACGAGTAAAGTGAATGATCCCAAAGACTGGTATAATTAAAAAGATTGAAAGTGAAAGCGATCTTCGCAGTAATGAACTCTATTTATAATAAGTAGAAGTGAAAGTAAGGCCTGAAAAATTCAGGCCTGCACGGGATTTGAACCCACGACCCCCCCTACGATACCGGTGCAGTGCTCTACCAACTAAGCTAACAAGCCAACTGGGAGCTGGTCACTGTTTTGGTTCGTTATAAACCCGTGAAGTGACGAATCAGTGACTGTGAATGTATTAAAATCAAATATGTGAACTGCGGTTTAAGAATGAATATGAAAGCGATCTTCGCACTAATACTGGTCGAGCACTGCACCGGTATCGCAAACGTCATGGAATCAAATTCCGTACGGGCTTGAATTTTTTTTAGGCCTTAATTTCGCCACTGCTTAAGCGGATCGCTTCCATATTCATTTCTTAACCCGCGGTTCACACATATTAATTTCATATAATCGCATCCAATGAAAAAGACTACTGCACACGACCAGAATAATATATCATATATTATGATTTGTATGACGCTTGTTTAGACATGCTGCACTTATTGAAAAGAGTCGAACCTTTTTCCTTCATTCGGTGATTGATTTTACGACACAAGTCCCAAGCTCCACCGGTCAACAATAACAGGGCAGCCACTCCCAAGCATGTAAAGAGAAACGGAAAATAGAGGACACCATCAGGGTCGAATAAGTTGACTTTGTTTCCGTCCCTGTTTTCAAATTCATCCTTAGAAGTAAAGAAGTTAACATTGTAAAGGGTACGATTTAGGACAAATTTTGCACAATAATTATCATTATTAACTAAAGATTTGTTAAGTTGGAGAGATAGCCGTCACCAATTTTAGAAACCTCGGGGGATTTATCTAATTTAATCAATTTTTTAGCAATGATGAGCACAATGTCTTACTTGCCCATCCACGCAACACCACAGTCTGTCTAGAAAATAGTTTTGCTTACAAAATAAATCTATAAATGAACTTAAGGTGAAAAATTCAACTTCACTGCGCAGGCCATGAAGCTGCTAAACCACAAACTTATAGCATGGCATATGGTACAGAAACCAGTTCAGTCGCCATAAACTGAAACTACGGAAAAGTCGGCGCACATGCTTTTTTTTACCAAAATTTGATTGAAAAAATTAATAATAAATGGGTCTACATATAAGTTCAGAGAACAATACTTACCAACAGAGATTGCTGCAGAAGTATTTCTGCGTGTTCATACCATTCTGCTTCTTGGGTGAACCTCTTTTCGCGAAGACACTCGGCCAACTTTGGATCTTTAACGCGAACGCCGTATTCCAAATACTTCTGCTGAAAAACTTCTTGAGCTTTGAGTTTACGAGTCCTTGACGGATGATTTCTTTTGAAATGTGCTAAGAGATAAGCATCCATCAGAGCCCCTGTCACAGAATAATTCATTATTATTATCAAATGAAATTAATGGTATTTTGACCTACGGGCAATGTATAAGTAAAGAAATGATACTCGCAGGTGGGCTGCAAGAAACTGCGAGGAGTGGTATGTTTTTCTGAATTATTTTCAGTTGCAGCGGGTTCGAATCCCTTCGCAGCCTGAACATAGTTAATAAATTCTTTGACATATGAAATATATGGTGGCACTGATCCATCAAACATAGAAGCTGAAAAATAAGCAACAAATTTCAACAGGGCTGCATTGGTAATAATAATAATAATAATAGTAATAATAATAATAACATTTATTGACCACTCCACGAAAGAGGCTTAGGGTCAATAAAACAAATTGTAAATAAACAAAGTGTTTAAAAATCCCAACTGGCAGGAGGCAGACCAGTTAGCTGATTGCAAAGTTCGGCCAAGGAGTTGAACTCAGGGCAACCGAGAACAAATCCAGTGCATAGCAGGGTGGAGGGCTAACAAGTCCGGTGCCTTAGCTACCCGACCACACTGCTCCCTTATCACTGAAGGATCGATCTGAGAACAGTGGCAGGCTGCAAATCACCTTCGTATTTACCACTCTCCAAATGTTCATGAATATCAGCAGCTGTTTTCACACCTAAGAAAACAAGATTAAACATAGTTATATTTTATTAACCAGGGAAAAAGACAGACTGCACCTTTATCAGTTTGAAAGCTTGCCTTTTCTCATTCGACTTGTTATCAAACGTTACAAAAAAAGAAAAGGTTTCAAAGCGATGAAGCACTTACGTGTGAGACTGGCCTGATGTTGAATTCCCGTAACCATTTCAATGGAACCAACAAGGACTACCACCTGGTCAGTTAGCCACAATATACAAACATGTTCATTGTTAAAGAACTATTGATATCTATACAAGAATAATTACTGTTTTGCTTTGAATTTTCATCAGTGGTCACCACGCTCGATCAGGACGAATGAGAGCGTTCTTTACATGAATGTATGAATAAACCTCAAATATCTGCGGTAATAATTTCAGTTTAGGATTAGTTTTTCAAATTAGCTGTGTACGTATCTGGTTCATTATAAAGATCTGAAGCGACCATTAGCAGATTAGAATTACATTAAAATAACTTAAAATACTCTTTGATAACCCTCGAGATTACTCAAGAAATATGTTTTTCGCCCGTCGTTTGTTGCTAAACGTTTCTGTTGACATTTTCCGTGGCACATTTAGCCCTTAACTTGATTAAACCTTGCATTACTTACACTCTGAGCCTTATTTCACTATTTTCGAAAGACATCATGTTTCAACCGATCCCCCCCACATCTTACGCTTTTAGGCTCACAGACATATTACGTCATGATAAATTTATTAGATAGTTGGCTGTGGAAATCCCTCGATATAGTCACCGTGTCCACATGGAACGAATGCCAGCCATGCCGTCACGTAGCACGGGAAACAGAACAACTACGGCTCAGAAGGCATCTGGTTCATGTCTTCGACGTTATTCGTGTTTAATAATCAGTTTCTGGTTCCCTTGTCTTCAGAATTGATTGCGTGAGGCGCAGTAATGAACGGCTTGCAATAAAATTGATATAACTTTCCACTATCTCTCGTTTTTCCGGAAGTGTAGAATTGCAATGTCACCCTTTTCTTACCTTGGTTCCGGGTAATTTGACTTTAGCCTCCAGGGAAAAAGTTGTCATGGAAGAAGTCAATGTTGCAGTTAAGATAGATATGATACACATTCCCATTAAAATCCACAGCACTGCAAACAGGCGACCTCCAACTGACTTTGGGTAGCGATCTCCATAGCTTGAAATGTTAAAAATCAAATCGTTTTAAGCGCGTGTATTCAAGAGGCTTGCGTGAGGTGAATGATCTTCAGTCATTATCCTAATTTCTTTTGCAGCAATAGGAACGATTCGAAACTGTCATCCAGTAATTTGTGTAGACTTGACAAAAAATAGGAATACTATTGTTATGAGTTTGTACGTTCGAGAGGTTTGACAGGATAATTACTGGTGGTTCATATGTGCTGTTGTAAAATTAAAAAACAAATATGATCAAAGGAGTTGATAAAAACAAGCACAACAAAAACAGTTCGAGTCATCCGATGAGCTAACATATGGGCATGCCAACTACTATTTCTACTATGCTAGATCATCAACCTCTTCACTATTATCTTTTCATTATATCTTCTCAACCCATCCATTATTGTCTTCAACCCTTCACTATTATCTTTGGATCATGTCAAATATCTGCCAGCTTCAGCTAACAAAGGAAATAAAGTATCATCTACATAATTATGTTCAATGATATATACGCACCCCACCGTTGTCATGGAAATAAAAGCCCACCAGAAACCTTCCCAGACGCCCTTAGTAAACATGGGATGAAAGTTGTCCGAGTTCCTCCATTTCTCCTGGTGTGGAAACAAAAAGTAAAATGGAAGATAAAAAAATTGCATTTTTCATGTTTTTTGTTTTTTTTTATCCTTTTTTAAAATTTCTTCTTTTTTTTTTTTTTTTGATTCATAACAATGGCTTTTGTAATGTATGATTTGTTCTCTTATTTGCACGTCCCAAAATACAAAATTTCGATTCATAACCGCAAAGGATAGAAAAAGACCTACCAGTGACCAGGCAGCAATTCCTGCGAGCAGTGACAAGACAAGTATGAGGATTAAGACTGGCCAAGTAGCGAAGAGAGACTTCACAATTCTCCACGTGTAATCGCTTCTGCTTCTTTCTAAAACCAGGAAGGCGATTCCAGTCTGTGGTAACAAGGGAACAAGGTTTTTTCGGCTGCTCATTAGGCGATCAGCCTCAAGGTTAACGATAACCGGAAAGTACAGGTCTGCATCGTCGTGAGATGAAGCGTTGTAAATCAATTTCATGCTGAGTCGACAGCAATCAGCCAGCATCAGGTGAAGGAAGGCTGTTGACAAAGAAATGTGACACAGCTTTGTAAATTGATCTAACAGGTAATTGAATTTTTCTTTTCGGTTTATTTTTTTAAAAAATCTTAGGCCTGAGACAAATATGAGCAAAATATCTTCAGATTTTCCTTTCGTCGGTTTCACATTAAAATGTATTCTGTTTTAAACTGTGATTTCTTCAGCACGTGGCTTAAAATATTTCCTCGTCTCTCGACATACCACAAGGGGATTTTACGCCTGTAAAGTGACGGAAAGTGCGGTTTATTGCTCTAATCCTTGCTCCTATCAAGAACTTTCGTTTGTTTGAAAAACAAAATGAAACATTAATGCCAATGATATTGTGGACTCTTGAGATGCAGATTTACCTATTTATTTTGAAGAGATTATATACTTATAATGATTGTCTTTTCTTTTCCCGTCTTGATTGAAATGTTACTATTCTGAATTGCTTTATTTTTCTCTCTACCTCTGAAATTTAGAGAATATTTATATCTTAATTCAGTTACTGCTCTCGCTCTGTTTTTTGGGTTGTCTTTGTGGTAATGTGAAATGGAAACAAATGAATTTCCTTTTGCTCAACCTGATAGACACAGTAAAAGCTTTCTTCCAAAACTTAACTTGAAAAAAAAGATTTTAAAATTTAAGAATTCAATATGCATTGCATGCAAATTTTACTGGAGTATCTTATAATTTTAGGCTTATCTCACGTTTCCTAATTGAAAACATGAACCAAAGAAAATGAGTCAAAAACATAACCTCATATCAGTAATAAACCGATTTTCCGAATTTGAGATACACTGTAAACGAATTTAAGAACACTTCTTATCATTTTGTGAGGTCAGTTTGAAGGTTTTATCGCTGATTTTAAAACACTATACATCGCTTCCGTTTCACTAGAAAGTTAAGCATGAAATATTCTAAGAGACTGTTATGATTTCCGCTGCCATTCAGATTTATTCAACTCAAATCTAGCCCGTCGAAGAATAATAGTTGCATACGAAGTTAAATGAATCATTTAGCGTCCATAAAAAAACTGGTCGACTGGAAGTGGTTGGTTAAGGGAAAATGGATTTTTTAAAAAGGTAGTCATTTATTGGAGGCGATCACTTTGCAATATAAGCGTGACTTTAAAACATCTCATGCAAGACTTACCACAGAGCAGTTGTTTTAGTGAAAAAAAATGCAAATATTCAGTCATTGAAGATACTTCAATTTGTCGGTTTGAAGTCAGAGTACATCCCGAATAACATTGAAAACAACCACAAAAATCATCAAGGGAAAGCTTATTTAGTATAAAATCAAACAGAACTGAATCGACTAGTTCAAAAGAAAAAAAAACAGAAAAAATGAAAGGAAGAAAAATTAGTAGAAAGCAAGGTACATTACTTGTCAAAAGTCCTTCATCTGAGTATGAGTTGTTTGTAACGTTTGTTTCCACGTAGGGAAGTCGAGCAAGAATCTCGTTCCAGTAAACAGAAAGCGATGGAGCACAATCCATGGATCCCATTCCTTCTACATTCTTGGTGTTTGGTTCAGCATCACTTCTTAATATTAAAACTGAGGCGAGCAAAGTCAAGATTGGTAAATTGTAGACACTGGAAAAGCGTCGTGAAAAACGAGCCATGAAACTCAGCTGCATGACAGCCTAGAACCAGAAAGTCCCACACTGCAAGTAAAGGAAAATATTAAATTTCTGTCTCGTTTTGAGAGAAAGTGGAACGAGAACCCGAGAGATGGCTAATTCATCGCGAAAAATATTGATAAGTTGCAATGTAAGAGCGTGGCTTTTTAATCACTTTTGAATACACCAAACATGGTCTCACCACACATCTTTGTTGTCACGGTAAAATGATGTATCGATAATGCTGCTGTCGTTGTGGTATCTCATACAAATTACGTAAAAATAAAACCTAAGTCTGCAGCTTATAAAATTTGCATTTTTTGGAAGCATGTTTTCCTTTTCACTCAGCTTTCTTCGTTGAAAACATAATGTAAGCTCAGTCAAGTAATCAAAATATTATATTTGACTATTCGTTTCTGTAGATAATACGAACAGTGAACAGCGATTAATAAGAGTTTTTGAAATTTTCATCCTTTAAGTAAATAATTGTTCAGTCTGCTTCAGTTGTTTTAGAGATTGTTAAAAACCTCGCGTGAGATGAAAGACAAATCGCTTTAAGTATTGTTATTCCTACGAAACGTTGCATCTGGATGAGTTAATAGCATCAGTTGACGTTCGATGGCGGAAATTCTTTAAAAGTTTAAGGATGTGATAGATCCAAATAGATAATCTACCTAGTTGTCATTCGTTCGAGAGGAAAATCGAATGCACGATTGAAATGGAATTGAAGATAAAATTTCAACAACTAGTTCAGTAGTGTTCATAACTGCGAGGATCGCCTCTATATTCGTTTACAATATCTAGATATCATATCTAGAGTACGAGCAGTAGTTCAGTGTTCACAGCAAAGAAACAAAGTAACGTTGGGATAAGAAGGCATTACAATTGAAATGATCATGCTATTACATTTGAGCACGTGACTAAAATCTACCCAGGCGAAGATCCTAAATGACGGTGGCAGTCTTGGCTTAGTTATATCACTCAAAACTCGTACCCGTTTGTCTCATTTGATAAAGAGGGAATCGTTAATGTTTTCATTAAGACAGTATTGCCTTGGTTTTCTAATATTTACAATGATAGACAGTAAATTTCACTTTTCACCCACATTTACTTCCAACCTTTTCTTTTGAACCAGAAACAAAAATGATTTACGTTTAAAAACACATGACATCATCCACCCTTGTAAAATGTAATAGCATGATCATTTCAATTTTAATGCCTTCTTATCCCAACGTTACTTTGTTTCTTTGCTGCGAAAACTGAACTACTGCTCGTACTCTAGATATGACAATCAACCACAAAATTCCATAAACCAGATAACATTAAACATAATCCAAGAAATCATGTGTCAATTCACGAGATTGCTCACAGAGCACTTTGATTTTGTCAGAAACGGAGAACGCTTCCCTTTGTTGTTAGAAACGAACAACCCTTTTAGAATCGTTACTCAAACATATTTCAATTCCGAGCATAAGATCGATTTCTGTGTAATCAAAGTCTTCATGAAGTCTTCATGGTATTGTTAGAAACCAAGAAAAAGTTTCTCAAGCTTACGAAACGTCCGTGAGTAAGAAACGATTACATAACGAACAACGCTTCATTTTGTTGTTGGCAACGAACAACGTTTCTCTTTGTTTTTAGGAACGAACAACGCTTTAAGAATCTTCATGGTGTTATCGGAAACAAAGAGCGCTTTAGTGATAAAAATTGAGATAAAAACGTGATGATCCTATGCACTTGATTTTATTTAGTTGCAGAGATTAAGCCCAACTATCTTGTAGTAATGATACTGAGCTCAACCTAGAATACACCTATTTACAAATGGACGGTTTTAATCTCGATGCATTCTATATTTAGTCTATAAGATTGAAGGGAGGCATCAGCAGATACACTCACCTCAACTATTAAATTATTTCGAGCGGATTGTCTCGCTAAGATGACTTCCAGCCGGATGGTCAGGAATGACTTTAACCCAAACTGTTCAAAGACAGACAGCACCTGTCAAGGCAAGCTAACAATTAAAAATCAAGCCTGTTTTATATGCTAGTAGGTCTGTTCTTTGTCGCCCATCAGACTGGCCTTATTCCTAAGCCTCTTAAAAAGAAAATCAAGTGATATTGGATAGCTGAGAATGACAATAATCAAATCATTTTAAATGTGTTTTTATGATCTTTCAGGAATCATTCATCCTTACAAAACAATATACGGAGCAATATTACCAATTTTTTCTAGTCGCGGGTATGTTTATCGAGCAGTATGGTTTTATAAATTGTTTTTAAAAGACAATTGCACGAATCCGTCCTCGTGAAAGTAGTGTCCAGCAAAAATCTTAACACAGAAACGGGGAAGAACTGGTTATTCTCTACAAGCAAATCAATATGGCGTAATAAATTAAGGCACCACCTCTTTTGAATTAATCGGAAATTTCTTTCGCAGTTCAATTTTTGTACAAGCCAATTACTTCAAAGTGCCTTAGGTGCTTACAAAGAAACTAAATGAAGCAATTGTAATACAGCAGCATGAAAAAGGTTCTCTCTCTTGTTGACATTTTCAGGTTCTCTGCTTAAAACAGCTTTAATATTTAATTTTTTAGTATAAGCCGCCAAATAATTATAAAACATGCCTCTTTAGACTACAGGGAAAGAGAAATTTACCCTCGGTTCTTAAGTTTTTTGCCGGTGTTATAAACAATGAGATCTTAGTTATTGTGGCATTTTCCTGGAGATTTATGGTTTATCAATAAACTTCGGCCCAATCATTTTACCTACATGTATAACTAGTTTGGTAAAGGAACCCTTTAATTCATTTTGTCAGAAATACTCACCGGTCCGTCCAAGCAAAACTCCTTTTTGTTTAAATTTTGGAATTGTAAAGAACGTGCGCCAGTTTTATTTTTTGGAGATACGTGATCAGAAATTAAAATTTGTTATTGTTTTAGGGTAGCAGCAAGGAAATAGAATAAAAATTTGATATCCTGTTTGCTACAATCATTTATTCAAAGTAGAAATTAGATGCCTTCTCAGTTTATTTCTAAATCAACGAAAACAAATAAAAATCAAAATTATAGAGGCAAATCTACGAAGCGCACTTGTTATGATTTACCAATCGAAGGCAACAGAACATATGTTATGTTTAACATGGTCGACTCACCTACACAACCTCCACGTCCTCAGTTCATCATATTGTTACCGTGCACGAGATTCAGACTGATCAGCAATTTGCGTGTTTATCTCATGATATCTTACATCAGCTTCCCTAAGTTGTTGGAAACTATAGCTTCAATAAAACGCCGGAAAGATTCTAGCACTCTAAATGTTGATGTTTTCACTGACAGTCCGAGGCTGAGTGAACTTAAAATCGGAAGCAGATTGAAATCGCTTTTCTTTATTGGCAGCGACGCTAAAAAGTACCAAATTTCGATCTCTGTTGTGGAGAAATTGAAAAAAGTACCTTCGTTTCCTTCAAAAACAGAACCCGGCGGATCCCCTTACAAATTCAAAGTTATGTTCTTCAACTCACAGTGATTATCAATGATAAAAATGAATGATAAAACCTTACAATAGGTCCCAATTTAGATGTTAAAAAACCAATCCTTGAAACGGTAACGGAATTGTCGGAAATATTGGCTGATTCATTGTTCGCTCTTGTCACCGCTTCATGTCTCACTCAACGTATGCATAATTATTACTCACCTGGCACTCTTCCATAGCTCAAGTACATATATTATTATTCATCGATGAGAGGTAAATGATTTTTGTTTGGTAATGCAAAACTGGCTTTGTTCCGTGCCTAAATACAAAACCGTATTTTTTTTATTTAAAGACTAGAAATAGAAAACCTTAGATAGTTGGGATGATGCGCACCAACACACAAGATGACATGTTTGCTGCAAACATTCTCCATTTCCCGGCTTAAAACATGCTTTTTGAAATAGAAATGAAAGAGAAAAATATCACACATATGAAACTGCGCTTAAAACTTCCTAGAGGCTTTCTTTTAATTCGGGCACAATCTGTTGGAACCGCAACAAAAAATACTTTACTTGAAGGAGGGGCCAATATTAGGATATTACCATTCTCCCTAATTACGGCGAGACTACAAACAATTCCCCCTATGAATTTTACATCACCGATTTTTCCGCTTTTCAAACGTTCAGTGCAGTTTTAGGTTGAGGTTGCAAGTACGCATTCTCGGCATGGGACCATAGTCAAGCAGTAACGTATGGGTAGTTGAAATCATGAGTATTTTATCTATTCCGATCTGGCCAAAATCGGCGACTTAACTACACCTTTTGTTGTTCATTTACGCAAAATGTACATTCATTTACGTCAATAGTTGAAAGTATACGGCAAATATACGTTCATTAGCACTTCCATGAACTTCATGAACGCGAACGAACTTTAACGTCATTTGAATATGTATTAACATTCAATGGCATGAACCGGATGAACAATTGCACCTTTGCAATGAACAATTGCACCTTTGCAATGAACAATTGTACCTTTGGACAATCAAATATTACAACTATACTTTCAATCTTGCGCAATGGTTGATTATTAAAACCAATAGAAAATCAATTGCATAGTATGACAATCAATTGCGTCTTAGAAACGTACAATAATGCAATTTGCATAGGGACGCACAATCAATTACACCTTCATACAATCGTTTATTCAAAATGATCAATCATTAACGTGAACTAACAAACATGTGTGTAGTAATAACAATCAACTAGGGAAAAAGAAATTTCATATTGTTCTATTACAGTGTACTGTCATGTTTTGTAATTTTCCTTCAATTTCTTTATTATTTAAACATCTTAGAATGTACGTTTGCATAAATCTGTACCACAATGGCAGGATTGTTGTGGGCTGGTGCGCTGTCATAAATGAAAATCACATGTTCATTTGGGTCGACATTTAACCTTGCCTGTGACAGAAAATCATTAAATGTCCATTCATTCCACCGAGAAATGCCGAGTGAAAAACTAGTCCATTGGTGGGTGAAATTGCCAGTGATACAGTAACACTTCTCCCTCGCTGACCACATACTTGTCGACGTGCCCTCTCTATCATCCTTGCTCGTCCGTGTCTTCTTGCCGTCCAAATATTGTACCCACGCTCGTCTACAAATATTCTATGATTCACTACAGCATGGCGCATGAACCAGTTGGCATAGTCGACTCTTTTTTGCAGGACATCAGGGCGGTTTCGTTCAACTGGGAGTGGCCTTGCCAGTTTTACACGATACAACATACTTTTAAGTGTTCTTGCTACTGTACGGTCATGGATGTTGGTTTTCTTGGAAGACGCTGTCTCAATTCTTGATTTATCTGTGCTAGTGTTAACAGGCAATTTTCGTTTAAAATGTCATTCAGGCAATTCCTCATTTCATCATCTACTCGAACATTTTGTCAGTTCGCGTTGATGATTGACCATTTTGAATAAACGATTGCATGAAGGTGCAATTGATTGTGCGTCTCTATGCAAATTGTATTATTGTATGTTTCTAATACGCAATTGATCGTCATGCTATGCAATTGATTTTCTATTAGTGTTAATGATCAACCATTGCGCGAGATTGAACGTATATTTGTTATGTTTGATTGTCCAAAGGTGCAATTGTTCATCCGTTGTTATTAAATGTTAACACACATGCAAATAACGTTATTGAAAGTTTGTTCGCGTTAATGAAGTTCATGGAAGTGCAAATGAATGTATATTTGCCGTACAGTTTCAACTGTTGACGTAAATGAATGTACATTTTGCGTAAATAAATAGCAAAAGGTTCTCTATTCTAGAAATTGTCTCCTTGTAACAATAACTTCACGAAAAAATGCACAATCAAAGATGAGATAATCAGGATCTGTTTTTCCTTTAGCATAACAAATGGCGTAACTTCAATGAGTTGGTCGGTCCTTTCAACGCTCCCAATGAGGCAATCCAATTATTAAAGGGAATTGCGGTCTCTTTCGGAGCAAGTGCTGTTAATTAGTTTGATTCTTAATTTTTTCTTATCATCAAATAAACGCTACACTTTAAACACAGCAAACGTTTCGGAAACTTCACAATAATTCTGTCATACCGTGCGTTTGGTAACATGCACCTGAGAGAAGCGGAAAAAGTAAGGTGCAAGAAAAGCAGTAAACGATATGCAAATATTTAATACTTCTGTACTAATTTAGTGGATGGCATACAACATGCAATTTTTAGCGTTAACACCTATGCTACGTAAACTTTACCTTCATAACAGTTCTGCGACTCTTACTCGACACTAAGTACCAATTATAGAGAAGGCCAAAATATTTTTAATGGCCAAACCAGCGCTAAACTCAGCTAAACTCGTGTTTAACCCTAAGCAATTATCATGGAATTAGAGGAACGTCGCAGATAGTACTGGATTTTTCGATTATTACGGAAAAAGGAGGAAAGAGGAGTGACTCAGAATTACCTTTTCCGAAGGAAATATTTGTCCCATTTTAGTTATCATCGAAACAACCCGGTCTTCCAAGGAAAGAGAAACCGTCCTTCATTATCTTTGACAGAAGAATTTACTGGATTATTCCACTGATTAGTTGAGCTTCTAATAACAACTCTGTCTTGAATAAAGCCTCAGTCTTGATATATTTATTCGTTAATTTTTTGTCTCTCTTGTTACTCACCTTCTATGGCTTACAGATAAATGCACACACCAATCGCTTGTTGGCGTAAACTTCATCCCTGGAAGAAAATAAAATTAAAACATCGAAGCTCATAATGTTCTCTGTTAATGAGTACCTATTTCGCACGAGTTTGTTAAATTTTGATAATTTGTGTTGACTGATTTATGTGACTTCCTAATGAGTGACGCAACCTGCCCAAATTCCCACGATAATGGAACATATTACAGTGAATTAAATCGCGAAACTAATTTTGAATATTTTAGGTAGAACGCACTAAAAGAAAATGTGAAAACTCTTGTTGTGAAGGCTGCTTCCTTTGACTAATAATCTTGAGAG